AGTGAAACCTTGAAAACTCGCGAGATCAGGATGGTCTCACGAGGCTAGAGGGTTCAGTGTTGGGCCTAATTTTTTATTAATATAAATGACTTATGCTGCATAAAAAAAAACATATTTTCAGACACACTAATGTATTTTTGTTAAAAACTTAGATCAGTTGTTTAACAATATCACTAAAACTATGAACAAACTGAATTAATGATTTTATGAAAATTAGCTGTCTTTGGATGTGACCAAAAATAAATAAATAATGCTATTAGGAAAGAGTGGTATGAATGATAACTGCTGATGATGCAATAACATGAAAATCTCAAATTAAATATATAATAGGTAAACTGTCGAAAAGTTTATTTATATTGAACTTTTTGTTTTTTACATAAGTTTGGGGATTAAAGTTGCAAAATAGTTAATAGTTAAGCCTGGAAATCAATCAATTTTGAATCATAAAACAGTTCAAAACCTCCAGAAGATGATCATCCCTTCCTATAAATATGTTTAATAATCATTGTTAGCTCTGCTTTTATTAATGTTATCGTTACTATTTAATCAAGTTGTCGATTATTATGCATTATGGTAGAAATATATGGTAGAAATCGTCATAACGGATGATAATGTTCATGCAAAATGTTCGTATTTTGCTCACAATTGTTTTAATGTACTGTTTATTTCTATTATAGCAGTTGAGAAAGCATTGTAAACTTTAAACATTCCCGATAAACATTTTATTTTGTTGATATCAAGTCAGTTCATTAAAAGGGATCCATAAAAAAGTCTAGAATGCTAAAAAAATTTATTGCTTAATCATATTACAAATTAGCTTTTCTTGGCCAAGCTCAAAACATGAACAGAAAATAAAAAAAGAAAAATATGAAAAATGCTTTACCAGGCTTTGGATTGTTTAGGTTTAGCGTTTGTCTGATTATAGATATAATAATGCCTGACATCTAAAACGTATCGTACAGCTTGATCGAAACCAGAAGTCATCCACACCTTCCAAAGATTATAAAGAAATGACTGAACTCGTTAAATAAATGAAAAAAATTATCCTTCATTTCAAATATTTTTACAAATAAACTCAAGCTCAGTTCTATTTGGGGAAAAAAAGGAATATTTGTTCCCATCAGATCTTTATGCTTTCAAACTGCAGGTTTAGTAGTTAAAAGCATCCAAAGATAGAAGGTGAGGCTGATATTTTACTTATCCTGCTCCTCATTTTGAGACTAACTTTACCTGTGATGCGACATCCGTCAACTTTAAATACCAGACAAACAATTTTTACCAAAAGGTTATCCTGATCTATTCTTTTTGTAATGCTGCTCTACACTTACAATGCTGGAAGACATACTTCCCATCTTTCCTTCTACTGGGTTTTGCCTCATTTTGTTTGTCTCTTTCCTTGTTTTATAGCGTCAGTCAGCTGAGAGCACATCAGGAGCCTGCTGCTAGTGGGTTTGCACCGTTAAATGGGAGATATTCCTGTCTAATATCACAATCATTATTGCGATTATCTCAATTATAATAATTGATAGCATCAGAGTTAAATAATGATTAATGCCTGTTTCCTTAGATGTACTACTTTTTACAAAATGTGAATTATCAGCTGAATTTCTGTTGCGTCATAAGTGGACGCAATTAAGCGCTTGCGATGGATATAAGTTTGACTTGTTTGGATTAAGAGAGAATCAATTTATCCAAATAAATGGACAGAAATAAATAATGTTGGTTTTAACTGATATGAATTGTACCTGTTTGTTTAAGTTTTTTAAGAAATACTTTTATATAATTAAACCAAAGAGAACAGAAAAATATTTTCTCCTAAATGATAAACAGTGTGATATAAAGGGTATAGTATCAGCTTCACTTACGGCGGCCCACCACCAGGCATCTGGTATGCTGCTGAATGGCGTCCCAGGCTGATCCACCTCCACCGAATGCATGAGGGCAGAGAAGGTGAAGATGCCCATGGCGATGAACAGAAACAGACAGCATACCTGGGGTTTTAGCAGAAACAGGTTACCAGCTACACTTACTCCCCCAGTGTATATATTAGTAGGATGTTTACCAAGAATACACACACTAAGACCTCAGGGCAATTTAGAAAGTCCAATAACAGTCATGTTTTGGACATGAGGGAAGAGGCAGGAGTACCTGGAGAGAATCCATGCATGTATTGGGAGAACATGCAAACTTCATGTAGAAAGACCCCAGGCTGCTATTTTGGAGCAGTTTTAACACCTTTAATGATCAAAAGGCTTTGCAAGCATTGCTAATCAAGTAAGGTAAGTTCCCTCTAGGTGAGGATGAGTATAACATCTGGTTTAAAAGTCAGTATTTTTTACTTATGCTGATTAGTAAAAGGAGAAAATGACAAAGATCTCTTGTGGATTTTTTGACTTAAACAACATATATATGAACATATTTACCTCTAGAGGAGGGTAATTGCTGTATGAAGTCTTGATAACATACCATAGTTGGGGATGAAGAGGCTTAATTGTCATTGATGCTAGGTAGAGTCAAGTTTCATGGAAGTAACTCCTAAAAAAGGAACTAGTTATAGTTAGTAGTTACATATCTGTTAATATCTCAGTTACTCCTAAGTGAAAGTAACTAATA